AAAAGCTAAAACTGGAGCTTCAAACCAGCTCTGAGCAGCATCAGACCTCACTAAACTAGGGATCGATTTATTATCGTGGTCGATCCGTGGCGTTATTCCGATTTTCGGTGCTTTTATTGGCCCAATTATCGATCAATTAAATGTGCGATCTCAACTTCTCTCTCCGTTTGTCGTCACTCTGTGGACTCGAACAAGAAACACAAACCGGGAAATTAGCTTCTCTCACAGCGGCTACGCTAACAGCTAGCCGATAAGTTAGCAGGCAGCCACTGATTAACCTGAAAACAATAGTTAGTGATGTTTTAAGGTCTTCGTGGGTAATAAAAGCAACAGAACAGTAAAAGATTAAGAAAACAGACAAACTGATCGATGTCAGTCAATCCCACATAAACCGAAGAAATGATTTAAACACTTATATTTTTTATATCGAGTTATCGTCGCCTCATTAATGAAGAAGCCTAATTATGAATGACATGCTGTTTAAACATTACATTTAACACGTATCGGTTCCATTTTCACCAATAATCTGCATCAATAATGGCCCATGTTTGGATTTTTTTGGTTGTTTTTTTTCATCTGAACTTCGTAACTTTGCTTTCCAAACACTAAGAAGGTTATTTCCGTCATCTGGTTTTACTTTCAGAATCGGCGTTTGAACTCACTTGTCCTCCCCCAGCACCACCCCGAAGCCGGCGTGCTCCACCCGGGTCACTTTGGGGTCCAACCAGCCGATCAGCTGCGCCGCCGCGAACACCAGCTGGAAGTGCGATCCCTGAAGAAGACCAAAAAAAACACCAGAATATCAAACCAAACGTCGTGTTTCATCGGTTTCACTGCAGCCTGAAACTAAACCGTTTGTGTTTGGAGGATGTGGCAGATGTTCATGACTTTATCTTCACTTCCTGAACTCCTGCTTTTCATTCCTGTTGGCTAATTTTTCACTGTAATATAAAGTCCTGCATCTCTGAAGAAGCACAAGAGAACTCAGACACGTCTGCTAGAACGCCACAGATCATTGTTTTTAAAGAAGGAAAGCTAGTTTCTGTGATTGTTTCACCAGGCTGAGGGTATCGTCCAACATCTCACTCACCTGCTTACCGTTTTTGAACCATTTATTTTATTGATCCAGTAGGTTTTCTTGATGTTTCCTCTGTGTTTGGTGGAAACGCTGCCTGCAGTTCATCTGAAAACTTTCTGAATTTTTGTCACGTGACTGTTTATTGCAGCTAAACTCGTTGTAGATTCTCAGTAGCACCGAGAACCGCAGAGTTTTTTTGTTTTTTTTTTAAGGATCTTGTTAAAACAAACTTTTTGTTTTTGGTCATTTTTAAGTGATTTTAATTAATGTTTTAACATCAAATAGGTTGTAATTTAACAGCAGTATGGACGGTTATTGGTTAGTTTATCACGTTTCCAGCTGTATTTAACAACAACTCCTGATTATATCATTAATCAGTTTCACGCAATCTGGAGCTGAAAATGTTTTGATGAATTAAAAACACTGATGAGTTGATTCATCTTCAATCTGAATACAATTAAAACGCAGTGTTTCTGACGATCGATGGGTTATTTTTCAAGTAAATATGCTGAACGTGCTGTTTTTTTAGCTACGAAATACGAAGACTGTTGTTGCATATCACAGAAAATGAATCATCCTTGAGTTTAACGGATAAAAAACTGCAGACGAGAGGGAATATTTTGAAGTCCTAATGCTCGTTTTGAACTGAATTCAGAGCTTTGGAAGAGCAGCAGATGTGATGTTTCTGCTGTAAACTGGTCAAAGGTGATGTTTTTCTGAAACAAAGCGAAGGTTTCTGATGATTGAAGGATCAGTTTTCATGTTAATCTACAAAACATTTACTTGGTTTTGCAACAAAATGTGGAGATTTTTGTCACATATGATGGAAAATTAAATATCTTTGAGTTTTGCACAGATGAAAATCTTCTAAAAACTGCAGGCAAAAGACAATATTTTTGACGTTAATGCCTTTTTGGGAAGAAACTGAGCCGCAGATCCCCTGTTCATAAGATTATTTATTCAAACGTGATGTTTTTTAGGATCTTAGCTACAAAATGCAAAGATTCTTGTCACTAAAGTGTCGACAAAATGTGAAAAAATATCTAATATATAATCAAATTTTTGACATTTTAATGCCTTTTTTTTTTAGCGGAAACAGACTTGAGGACTTGGAGAGCAGCTGTTTATACTAATAATTGGTCAGAAGTTTGTTGACGATTGATGGGTCGTTTTTGTTGATCTTAGCTTCAAAATGTACAGATTGTCGTCACATATGATAGAAAATAAAGTTTTCTACAATTCTTCAGTTTTATCCAAAGCGACGTACGTCTGAGAGCAGATACAACACGAGCAGGGATCTCGTCAGGAGAAAACAATCTAGATAAGTGCCGTAGAACAAATCTAAGTGTGATAGGGCGTTGGTGCCAACAGCAGGCTGTGTGAGAGGATTTTTTATTGTTTTTTTGCGATGTAGCACAGACAAAATTTTTAAAAATCTGCAGGCGAGAGACAATATTTTGACATTTTAAGGCCTTTTTCTTCAGAGGAAACTGAATTCAGGACTTTAGAAGAGCAGCAGATGTGACGTTTCTGCTATAAACTGGTCAAAGGTGATGTTTTTTTGACATGAAGTGATGTTTAGATACTAAACTAAGAAAAGCTGAACTGCTTGTTGACGTCGTGCAGCAGAGCGAAGCTGCAGTTCAGGACCGAACCTGAACCGACGGCTCCCTCTGCTCCCTATTAGACTTTTCTTTACCTTTTCACCTGCAGCTTTCTTTGTTTTCTTGTCCTTCCTCTGCTGTGTTTTGTTTTGTCTTTTAACCCACCTGCCCGCTATCCACCACGTAGATGATGATGTCGGCCTTCTCGTCGAAGATTCGCTGTCGCACAGCCGCCAAGTCCGACGTGTCGTAGGTGTAGCCGCCGTCCGACTTGACGACGGTCAGCGGGACGGACTGACCCGGAACGAACATGATCTTGCGGCCTTCGTCCAGCTCCAGCAGGCCTGAGCCGCACAAGAGAAATGATGATATTACAAGAGGAGGGAATTATGTGGGTACGACTGAGAAGGAAAACTGCAGGGAACAGATGAGATGACACAAAAAATAAAGAGTAAGCATTCGTGAGGCGATGTCGCCTCCTGGTGGCGGCTTCAGGTAACTACTGATTTTTAAATGTTTGTCCAAATTGTGGAAATAAAAAAGAAAAACAGATTCTCACTAAGATTTTAATGATGATGTAATGAATATAAAGCATGCAGTGATGCTCAAGGTGTGCAAAATTTAATATTTGATGCTAAAGTACTTGAATTAAGTGTTCAGTAATCACAGTGTACTCAAATAAACATGAAACATCACACAGGAAACGTCAGAGAAGCTCAAGTCTATTGTTGTCATCAAACTAACCGTCTGAACTAAAAGTCGTTTCTGATTTTTCTTCACTGTGGCTCATTTTTCTCGGCACCATGAAGGTTTTTTTTTTTTACAGGCAACATCAGAACAAAGTGCTTATTTTTGGTAAATTTTAAAATAACACCCGTAGAATGAAGTGATTTTGATGAAATATCAATATTTTATGACTAATTTAGTTCATTTTCCAACACGTGGGAAGTTCAAAGACCGTCAGAAAGTTAGAAATCCAACATTTTGAGTTCTGGCTCCTGTTAATGGTGTCATTTTGTCAATTGTCTTAAAGAAAAGCAGGTTTGGGAGAATCAGAGGATTTGTAAAGGAGATTTTTTTTTTTTAAAGTAAATAAAATATATTTTTTACTGTTAAGTGGAGAATCAGTTGCACCGAGGAGCTCAGCATTTTATTTTTATCTCATGCAAATGGTTAATGTTTAGAGAATTTTAAAATGACACCTGTAGAATAAAGTGACTGATGAAATATCACAATTTTAAGATTTAATTAATTTTTTTTAACACGTGGGAGGTTCAAAGACCGTCAGAAAGTTAAAGATTCACAATTTTTCCTGTTTTTAGAGTTTTTGGCTCCTGTAAATGGGGAAACTTTGTCAATTTTCTAACAACTAAATAAAAAAACAACTAAAAGCAAGTAAATAAAATATATTTTTTGACTGTTGTGGAAAATTATCAAATTATTATTATTTTTAAAGAATCTGGTGCAACTGGTGAATTTATAGATGAGACATGAAGAATAAAGTGATTTTAATGAAATATCGACATTTTTAAGTTCAGATTTTATTCCGACAGAACAGCGCTTCGTAAACGATGCGTTCAAGGACCATCAGAAAGTTAAAAATCCAACGATTCTCTCTATTTTTAAAGTTTCTGGCTTTTACGAATGGTGTCATTTTGTTGATTTAAAAAAAAAAAACAAAACTCGCCTTTAAAATCTGCCGGCAGGTTTTGGGGTCCAGACAGTAAAGTTAAATTTATTTTGTTTATTTTATTCAGACTTTCAGCGAACGGACTTTAAAGAAGCAAAACAAACTGAGGAACTACAAAGACAAACTGGTCTTTGAAGTCAAGGAAACTCAGATGTCTTGACGTATTTCCACCGTCTAGTTTCTTGGTCGAGAGAATTTTGCGTTAAAGACACTTTGGGATGTTTTCCGTTGCTCTGCTGCTCGCTGACCTTTGCCTTCGATCTCCTTCACCACCTCCGTCATCAGGTCCTGGTAGTACGACTCGCCTCGCTCCACGATCGTCACGTCCAGACACTCGTAAACCCGCTGAAACTCTGAAACCAAAACACAACAATCGGAATCAGTTTCATTACCAAGAAAACCGTAAAAACGGTCAAACACCAACAGGATCAAAGACGCTAAAAAGCAAGTTTTTCATGTAAAATCTTGAGACGAGCAAATGATAATAATAATAATTATTGTGTTTAAAAAGCTGCATTAATGTTCAAAACTCCAAAATATATTCAATATATATATTCAGCACTTTTCATGAGACATTTGAGGCCTTTTGTGTGGAAAAACATCAAGAATCCAAAGTTGAGCCGAGTCAGGAGTTTCAGTTTTGTGTGTTCTAACTTTTCAGCCTCCTCCGTAGAAAGGCGATTCTCGAGTGGCCTACCTCTCCTGGAAACGTCGCAGATCAGGTTCCAGGCCTTGATGAAGTCGGGCTCTTTGCTCTGCAGCCGGACGACGCACTGATACGCTCGCTTCTTGAAGTCCTCGTCCTCGTCGAATCGCTTCTTCGACTCCTGAAGCAAAACAGAGACGATCAGCTGAGATCTCGACTCTGGACGTAATTAATTCACGTTTATTTCCTGAATCTAAACGTTGTTCGTCAGAAAAGTCTGCGTCCAGTCTTTTCCTGGATGTTCGTCTGACATCAGTCCGACACGTGAGAGGAAAAATAAAGAGTGTTTCAAAATAAAAGTTGAAAGCGAGTGTTTTAGTTCTTCATATCTGGACTTTAACAGTTTTTCCACATGTTGGGTAAACTGTTTTCTACTTGTGAAGTTTTCTAGCGCCTCGTTTTCTACGTGTGGACGACGTGCTGAGTTTTCAGCAAACAAGGTTTTCTACGAGATGCAATTTCTACGTTCTGAGTTTTTTCTAACGAGCTCAATTTTCTAGTTTTTTGTTGTTGTTTATGAAATATAGTGAAAGTTCTTACATGAGTTTTCCACGAGGGTTGATTTTTAGCTCTGGTTTTTTGTTTTTAGCTGTTTTTTTTTCCATTGTTTGAAGTTTTCAACAAATGTTGTAGAAGAATAATTTTCTACGAGCTGGATTTTCTGCAATTTTCCACGTTTGGAGTTTTTCATGAGCAGAGTTTTCTACGTGCAGAGTTCTTTAACAGGCTGGATTTTATAGTTGTTTGTTTTTTTACAGGAACTACAGTAAAAATTCTTACATGAGTTTTCTACGAGCGCAGACTTAGCTGTAGTTGTTTTTAATACAGGCGCCCTTTTTTCGTTGTTTAAAGTTTTCAACAAGTTTTCTTCGAGCTGAATATTCTACGAGTTCTCTAGAAGAATCATTCTCAACAAGCACAACTGTGTGTTAAAAGTTTTCTCCATGTGGGATTTTCTCTGTTTTTAATGAGTTTCCAACAAGCTTCGTTTTCTAAATGCAACGTTTCCTCTGTGCAGTTTTCTTCCAGCTGAAGTTTTCTAGAAGATTAACAAGCACATGGTCCTCAGTGTTCTACAGGCATATTATAGCAGAACCAGGATCTCTCCTCCTTTTCTTTTTTTTTTTTTAACTATTCAGCTGTAGATGCTTCATCATTTCAGCACACGGCACCTGAACGCATCGTTTCATGCGTCAGGTTGACTGACTGAACCGGTGACGAACACAACAGGTCAGCAGCAGCTTCCTGAGACACAAAATCAACATAACAGACCAATTTGACCAATTTGAACTCAAAAAAATGGTCACAGTCTGGAACCCTGATCGATGTAACGAAGGCAGAAACACCAGAAAACCACGACAGGAAATAGATTAGTGTGGACGAGGCTGATTCAGGGCACTTTGTAGGAGAAACCTCACGTTTTAAAGCTTTAAAACCAAAACCTTTGTTTAAAAAACCAACCTGGAGGTAAATGTCTGCTTTCTAACAGACCAACTCACCTTGTAGAAGGCCTGCAGGTCGCTGATTGGAGGACAGACGGTCAGGTAGTCGGGAAACTTGTCCTGCAGGTGAGCGATCAGCATCCCGAACTGAGTCCCCCAATCGCCCACATGGTTCAACCTGGAGACAAACCGTCGACTCATTCCACCTTAAAACCACCATATTCATACAACCATCTCCGATCTGCCTCAAAACTTTAACTCATAAAATACAGATATTTATAAAAGGTTAGATCGACTTTACTCCAACCAAGTTATGGCTTTAAATTAGACGAGATCATTAATCACGAAGGAAATTCTTCGCTCAGAAAAAAACTAAACGAAACAAGAAATGCAGTAAAAAGTCGAAAGACTGAACTAAGCTATGATGAAGAGCACGTCAAAGAGAAATACTGCTACTCTCTGTGTACTTTAACGTTTCACTAAGATCTGTAAAATAACGACACAAACCAACGCTGTGGTTTTTCTGGTGCAACGTGCTGCTGCAAGTATCACCAACAAGGATTTGGGTTTTGTCTAAATGGAGTTAAAACTGTTTTTAATAAATGAAAGTTCTGCACGACTGAAGACATCAGAGCAGCTTCACACAAACAAAACTTGATTTACATTAAATGCATCGCAGCACCACGACGGTTTGTTTCGGCCGAAGTCTTTTTTCGTGAGCGAGTCGACTCACCTGAGAACGTCGTAGCCAAGGAACTCGAAGAGCCGCGACACGCTTTCGCCGATGATGGTGGAGCGCAGGTGGCCGACGTGCATCTCTTTGGCGATGTTCGGAGACGAGAAGTCCACGACGACCTGAGAAACAAACAAAACACACGAATAGCATCAGAAAAAACAACAAATACTGAACCTGTGAGACCTGATTAAAGCTTCACCGACTCAACTTCCATTTAAAACAGATTCCATACCACTGTTCTTTACTCACCTACCTGTCATATTATCAGTTTTATTTATGTTTGGTTTGTTGTTTATTCCAGTGCTACAGGTTTAAAAGACCCTTTTCTACTTTAAGAGATTAAAATAGAAGAAAAACTTTCATGTAAACACTAAATATCAGGAAAAAAAACACAAGTTTTTTAGTCTACGAATCATTTTTTAAGCCGTTTTTTCATCCAATATCCTTTAGTTTTCCTACATGAAGCTATTTTCAAGCAATTTTTTTTAAAACCATATTCCTTATCTCCAATATTTAAACTCGTTCGGTTAATTCTGTGACACTACATTACAATCTGTTACACTAAAACACTTTTCTTCAAACTCGTATCAACATTCAGGTGTTTTTGGCCTCACGATGGCGCCGTTGTCTCACAGTTACTGTGAATAAACACAGATAAAAATGCCGAAGCAGCCCATAATAACAGCCTATCGTCATGGTAACATGATGCAGCAGCTGAGTTACAGGTTCAGCGCAGAACAGCAGTAAATCAACACATTATTCTGATGTTTATGAACAACTTTACTAAAAGAGAAAATATATTTTAGTAACACGTACATGATTTAAAATGCGGTTCTGTAGAGCGGGTTGCAAATGTTTAAGAGCGTTTGTTCAGAGATTTTATATTTTTATTTACTAGAATCCATCACTCAGGTTGATGCTAATTTCTACGAACCTTCTTCCTGGTTGCCAGCGGCGGCGGCTGGACTCCGTTGATCAACAGGTTGCTCAGCAGCTTGGACACGATCGTCCTCTTCAGGTGGACGTTGATGAAGCCTGAAGAGACGACGTGTCAATGAACCAGCGACAAGCAGAAGAAGCTGCTAAACAGACGTTCTCACTTCAACTAGAACTAATCATTAGAGGGAAATAAAATAACTGACCCTGATTTATTATCCAGCAAACCAGACGCATACAGTTTAATTAACTGTATTATTAATATTATCATGTTTACCTTCTTATTATAGACGGAAATACTCGACGTTTTCATGATTTCATGATTTGTGTTTAAACTTTGTCCTTGTGTTAGTTTTCTGTCTTTGTGCTTCCTACAGCGCCCCCTACAGGTCAAAGAGAAGTTTTTTTAATTTTGTTTTTTACAATATTTCTCAATAAATAACTTTGCTTTGAATCAAGTTTGTGTTATTTTGCAATAAAGGTGTATCACCTTTCAAATAAAGTTTATTATTTGGAACTGAATAAACAAAAGTCTGTAAATATTAATTACTGGAAGTTCTTCTCAACTTTGAGCCTAAAAAGTTGGATAAATTTAGTTTAAATATATTAAAGCGTCACTAATTCCCAGTCAGGAAGAAAATCTGATGATGAACTGGGTTTATGGGTCAGAGAGCGAATCAGAATGAAACCTTGTCGGTGCACGAAGCAATAAACATGAGAATCATTAACTCTCCCTGAAATACAGGCGAACTTCAAACTTTCTGTTTCGCTGATTTTGTGTAAAATATGTTTTTATTAATCTTGCAGTTTGATAAATACGACAGAAGGTACAAATAAAAAGGGATTAAAAGTGGATTAGAGCTGAAATTATTCACTATTTTAACAGTTAATTTAACATGTTTTAAGGGAAAATTTACAATTTACAGACTCCAAAAGATTAGAATGTGTCGCTTTGCTTTGTGGTAATGAACATTTGGGTTTTAGACGAAGAACAAGCAGGTTGATTTATAGTTTTCTGACATTTTAGGGGAAAATCCATCAGATTAATCAACAATAACAGAACATATAACTTACTGCAGGCCTACAGTGTAGAGGAAACGACGAAACCGGCTTTTTTAAAACAAAAACCAACGTATTGGGTCTCTACCTGGTCCGGCGATCTCAGTTTTCTGGATGAGTTCGTTGTCGGGGAGGTTTTGGACGATCTTCTCTGCGATTTCTCGCGGGTTCACTTTCATCCCCTTCGCCTTCAGCATCTGCAGCAAAACACCAAAACGTGAAACTTCAGTCCGACCTGACGGATATCAAACAACAGCACGTCTCTGCAGAAACATTTTAGAATTTAACGCAACAGATTTACCACAAAACAAAAAAAAAGAAAAAAAAAAGATATGATGTGAAAATCCTCTAAATCGACTGAACGAACCAACTTTTAATGAAACTAAAATATTTAATATTTTACAGTTTTATTATTATTATATCATATGTTGTTGTGATATTATTTACTGCATTTAGAGGTGAGTTAAAGGAGTTTATAAATAGTTTTATTGTTTTTTTGTCATATTTTGTGCAAAAAATAGTAAAAATGTGATTTTATGAATGATGCAGTTTAAAAAGCTATGTGCAGATTAAATAATAGAATATTTTTATTTTTACTACAAATCTGCAACAAACTGAGTCAATAATCCCTTAGTGCAAAATAAATAAAAGGTTTTCTTATGTTTATTATTTATTATTATTAATAATAATAATAATAATAATATGTATAAATGATTTTTTTTAAGTTAATTTATTTTTAATATTATTATTGTTTTGTTTTTTTTTAAGAAATTTATTATTTAAGTAGAAAATCTTTAAAATATTTTCTAAGCAGTGAAAAACAAGGACAGTTTCTGTATTTAAAGTTAAAATAAATGGTTTTTACGTGCATTATATGAAGTTGCACAAAAAACCTGAGATTTAAACAAATGGCGTCGTTTCTTCACATAATTACAATAACAATAAATGCATGTTAATATACTGCAGCCAAAGAAAATGGAAGAAAATAATAAAATTCATGATTAAAAACAGAAAGTGCAACAGATTAAAAGTTATAAAAAGCATGTGAGCGGATAATAAAAACGTTAATATCATAGATGAACATGTGTTTGTTATGTGCATGCAAACAATTGGGGTTTTTTTTTTGTTTTAAATAAAATAACTATTACTAAAGAGATAAATAACTTCTGTTCAAATCTCACAATTCATTCTGTTACTTTGGCGTCACTTCTTCTACCTGTGATCCCGTAAACCGAATTAAATGTTAGTTTTCAGAAGTAAATCGTCGTTTTTACCCAGAAAGCTGCATAAACTGAGCAAAATGTGTTCAAGCAAGAAAATCTGATCATACGTTGGACCACAAAAACATGAACTTCTCACGTTTGTAAAATTGACATAAAAAATAATATTTACATTCAAAAAAATGTTTAAAAAGAAAAACAAAACAAATGAAACTGGAATAAACTTTAGATCTATCATCAAATAAACAAGCAAAAAGTTGAATTTGAACAGAGAATCAGAGACTCTTCAGGCCCTACTTGGTTAAATAACGTATTTAAAGTGATTTTTTGTGGGGATTTCCTGACCTGGGCCAAAGCCATGGCGCTGTTGCACTGGTAGTCGCCGAACTTGGCCTGCTGGTTGGGCGTGACGGCCAGCGGAGGGTCGTCCAGGTCGGGGCAGGACGCCCGGATGGCCTCGCCGAAGATCTCCTGCAGCCGCTGGTTGATGTTCATCATGGATTTACCGCAGGGAGCTTTCTCCTCCTGCAGACTCTGAGGGTGGAAAAGTGTTTTACAGCTTCGGTCAAAACACAAATGTGCTGCTGCTCGTTCTGGATTATGTGGAGAATTTCATTTCACTTTCACTTGCAATGTTTCACTTTCACTTACTGTCGATGTGGCGTTCAATATTTCATTTTCCAGGCGTGGCATCAGGCAATACGTCAGTATAATTGCCAGCATTACTTTATAAGGTTCTATTCTAATCCCAGTTTATCTTATCTTACGTATTTTATTTACTTTTTTTTTACTCTTTAAGACGCAGCTGCATTTCTGATGTCTTTAGTTTTTTTTACTGACCAACATCTGGCACATGTCAGGATTACAAAAGCTTTATCTTGAATTATCTAATGCTGGCTCAAAAATAACAAATAACGATCCAAGTCCAGTGCAATCATGTCTTCTAAGATTATTTAAATGAAAAGTATTCAGCTATAATGACGTATTTACTGACTGTTCCACTACATTAATGAAAATCTGACTTTACAGCAAAACAAAACATTCACAGCAAAACAAAAAATGCTCTTATTCCAGCGTTTGTTTCCTCTTTTTGCACAAACTTTAGTGTTTATCAGGACATTATTCAACATAAAACCATAAAACCTCCATTTCACTTCTGTTTAACGACACCAGAGGCTCCGTCTGCCGTGTGACCGTCACTCACCCTCTTCAGGATGTTCAGGCGATACTTAAGTTTGGCGTTTTCCTCCCGAAGCTCGTCGAGTCGCGGCGACGGATTCAGGCTCTGCGGGTTTTTCAGACTCTCGATCTCTGCGGACAAACTCCTGATCTCCCGCTCCTGCAAAATGAGAGTGTGCCGGTTCACCTCGTCTTCAAGTCTTTAAGCTGCTTCGACGCCAACGTTCGCAGTAAATTAATGATTAATGCGACCGTTTGCTCCTTTATTGCGTCGAACTGTTTGCTGTCTCTTATCAAAGACTCAATAAATTGATTTACTGCTTTTACAGCGAGCTGACTTCAAATTAAAGCACTCGTCCATCAAATCCAGTCTTCAGTTATTGTAAAAATCAGACAATGACAAACCATCAGTGGTTTTTAAACAGAAGAAAGGCAGGAATTTAAATACAAAAGATTTAATGTGTAATCCAGCAAACAGCATTCAATTTGAGCTTTTAGAAGGAAATCAATGTTGGTTCTTTCAACATTTAAGGCCAGAAAAGTGGATAAATGGGGTTTAAATGCATTAAAACGACGGCTGCTTTCCTGCCAAGAAGAAATCTGATAACGGATCCGGCCCTGAAACGTTTATGGGACAAAGTGCAAATCAAAACAAAAGCGAGAGTTCCTACATGATGCCATAAATACTCAAATTATCACCCGTCCCAGAAGTTCCGGTGAACTTTAAACTCTAATGATTGTGACATTTGTGTATTTCATCAATTTATTTATCTTATAGTTTGACCAAAAGAAAGTTCAAGTCATTGGGTGTTTTCTTAACAAGTTCACCATTTACAGATTCCAGCTCCTCAGTGGAGCACATGTTAGTTTTCTTTGTATATTTCATATCAAATCAAACTTATTTGGGTTTAAAACTGTTCGTGACACAAAACAAGCATGCCGAACTATGATTTTTTATTAGTGTTTTCTGATATTTCAGGAGCTAGGGCTGTCAAAAGCCATCATATTAATCAACAATATGATTAACTGCAGGCCTAAAGTGTTTCCTGAACGATGAAAGCAGCTTTCATTTTCTTCCCAGCATCCCTTAAATAACCACTAGAGGACCCCAAACATCAGCCCAACAACAACTGTCCACACAGGCAGCTTCAACATTAAGATCACAGCTTTAAATTAGACATTACTGATGTAAATGCTGAATTATGTGTATCTTAAAGTTAGCTCTGTGTGAGGGAAAAAAACTGTACTCTCCACAAGACTCCATTCATAAATTGTCTAATTTAAAGTTGGCTTGACTTTAAGCACAATATCACATTTATAAGAGAACACAGAAAACAACACAGCGAGGTGTTCTAGCAGGTTCGGCAGAGGAATGAGACATCAAATAACAGCTTTTAAACTATTTTTAGGTAAAAAGTCTCTGTTTTGTGTTAGAGACGTTAGCCGGATTTGACAGTGGGGCCCAGCATTTCTGCAAACAATGTTTATTTTGCCTGGTGGTTTAGCCATTTTCAATTAAACACAAAAATAAATTAAATCGGCGTTTTCTTGTCTAGGGTTTGGCTCAGGGTTTTTGGGCGTCCAGATGTCTGACTGACACCGGCTCTAACACACGTTTAGCCGTGTAGCTAACGTTAGCTTCTCCGCCTAAAACGAAGCGGCGGCCCACCTGTTGCTGCAGCCGGGCTGTGTACTCGGTCACCGGGTCTCCCATCTCTGTGAAGCGCTGCGGAGAAACTCTGGAGTTGGCTGGAGGAAGAAACTCGTGGCTGATGAAACAAACTGCGGGAAGAGGAGGAACAAGTTCACAACTTTACGGAACACTTCCGGGTCCGTCGACGTCAGCAGCGTCTTCTTCTTCTACGTTGTTTTAACGCGGCTCGTTAAAGCGGCAGAGCGCCACCTGCTGCGTAGGAGGAAGAACACAGCCTGTATGTGTAACAACACATTTTAAACCTTATTTTTAGGCAAAATCACATTTTTGTTTTTTAAAAAATGTCATTAGATATAACCGGTGATGCTATTCATCAAGTTTTTATGTTCAAGTGACCATTAAAACAGTACTTTTGGTTCTGTCATTCTTTTACATAGAAGCCAAGTTGATTTAGTCTGAAATAACTGATTGGGGTGTTCCAAAGACAGCTGCTGAGTGGCAAGAACAAGACAGTAAATACATAAAAAATATAAATATATTGAATATACAGCCTATTTTGGCAAGACTTGCCCATAGAGAGACTAAATCTTGGCCCTTTGCTGCATCGTCCTAGGATCTAATCTCAGAATTTAAGACAAAAGAAGTCTGTTTCATGACACAGGTGAGTAGGAGAATACCAAACATGCAACAATACATCTAGTCTCAACATTTCAGTGCTAGATCTTCATCAAGCATCTGTAACTCAACAACCAATCAACATCCCCCACATGTTAACGGAAGGCACGAACCCCAAAGCATCATTCAACTGCAGAACAACTTTCAATAAAATACAGAATACTTAGGAACATTCTTAAAGGTACTCACAACTGTTCACAGTGCCTGCATACTCCCAAAAAACAAACATTTACATGGCATGTGAAAAAACAATAGAATCCCTCATAATACATATCAGCCTTCTAAAATCTGAATCTGCTCACAATATATACTTAAACTGAAAATAACCATCTAATTTGACACTTTTTTAAATTAAGTGAGTCCCTATAAATCCAGTCTAAAACCTTCATTCTCACCCGATCTAACCATTTCTTCATCACTTTGTGTGTTCTTCATATTTAATTTTCAATTTAGTTTGTGTAAAGCACCCAGAGCATGATGCTGCCACCACCATGCTTGATGGTAGGTTTGGTGTTCTTGGGGTTAAAGGCCTCACCTTCTCTCTTCCAAACATATTTCTGCTCAGTTTTTGTTCCATCTGACCACAGAACTTTCTTCCAGAAGGACTTTTCTTTGTCCATGTGATCAAACTTCAGTTGAGTTTAAGGTTCTGTTCTAGAGGAAGAAACTCCTTCATCAGCCTCTCAGCTCATGTTGATGTAAAACCCCGTGGACGCCGACAGCTGTGATTCTTGGTTGATCTGACTGAATGTAAACCATTGTTCAAGACTGCATGAAGCCTGAGAGGCAAGACCCAGGGCAGCAACACCACGTCACTCATCAGCAACTGAGTTTTAAGCATTTGAGCTCCTCTCTTGTGGATTGTGCATGTCAACAGTCAAAAAATTATGTTTATAGAGATTTTATAGTCACCCTTATTTAAATTGCTCATTGATGTTGACCCAAAGTGCTGATCAGTAGAGAAAGAAACTCTAAAGTCACCTAAGACGCTACAAGATTACAGAGAGAAACCCAACAATAGCGCCACAACGCAAACAAAAACACACAGAAGAAGTAGAAGAGAAGAACTTTTTTTATTTGTTGTGAAACTACAAAACATATTGTTTATTTTTGTTGTTTTTTTGTGCTGGTGAAGTATTTACAACTCTGGTAGACAGTACAGTGTCTGAGAATAAAATTCACAGCTTTTCGGGACTCTTGCGATAAAAACAAAAACAAACAAACAAACAAAAAAAAAACAAAACAGGAAAAAGCACACCCAAATCACAAAAGTGCAATAAATACATGCTGTATGTTTCTCATAGCCGCCTGCGTACACAACACCGGGTTCATCGCCAGTCCAAATACAAACAGATTCATTAGAAAAAAAATAAAATCATCAAACGAGGAAAAAACTTCAAAAAAAAACAAACAAGAGCGACGTCACAAGCTACACGACGAATCATCTGTGACTAACAGCATTTGTTTTTTATTCTCTGAATGATTTCTCGTAGCAGAAACCTACATTCCTTCATCCAGACGTGGTTACATACGAACGTGTTTGATTTCGAGGTTAATCAGTGGACTTTAAAAACAGACGCTACTGACAAGAGCTTTTCAATCTACTCGAGCTACAGTGAAAGAAAACTGCTCACATTCAGGAAATGAATGTTTCTCTACAGCTTTTTTTATTTATTTTTTTATTTTACACGTTCGGACATTTAAGACAAAAAAAAAAGAAAGAAAACAATATTTTACACGTTGCTCTCCAAAGGCACGTTCTCTCACGTAACTCCAAAGACTTTCATTCGTTTCACAGTGTTCCTGCTGCAGCGTAACCTCGGCGATTTCGGCTGCGTTCACGCTACATGATCAAATCTGACCCCGACGCATTTATTTTTATTTCTTCATCCTCAATCTGACGCATTTGTGGCCTCAGTCTGAACAGTCGGATCACAGTTCAGCTCTAATGCTGGTCCTGTTTATCGTGATTGCGGAGCGAGGCTGCCCCCTACTGTTCTGGCGCTGCTACATCTGGCAGATTTCCACAAACGCTTCACAAAATCTCTACAATTACCTGACTTCCATTGACATCAAGGCTTGTTTAAGGCGGGTCAAACTGTTAAGTGTGTTCCGACCACAAGAACTGCCCCTGTAGGGGCAGGGCTGTTTTGAGGGGAGAAAATAGTTCTTACACCAGATAAAACAGCTAGCAATGTAAAATGTACGTCACTGTCCATAAACAAAGGGGCTAAACATGCCAGTCACGGGGCTGTCTCTGGAAACGTAAACGAGTTCCTGCAGTGGAAACTCGATTTTTGACATAAAATCTGCATTTTTCATGATCGTTTTTGTCAGCTACATTCTTTTTTACATCGAGAACGGAAACTTGGACATAAAGTAAAAACACGTACCCAAAATATAACCTTTTAGCTCATTGACCCAGCAAGAATGAAGTCAGCAATTCATCTTTTCTAGTCATGTGTTTTTGTTGTCAGTATTTGTAGCAACAAATTGTTGGTGTATGTTGCTGTTCAGAAAAAAATCCATTTATTTGTAAAGCTAGATTTCTTCCATCTCTCGCATACATTTTTGTTTTTTGGCCACTTGGGGGCAGCATGAACGGTTGATGTTTTGAGGAAACCAGTATTTATTTAAACATCCAGCAGCTTGGAGGCGACATCATCGTCCATTTTGATTCATGTATGTGGCCACCTGATCAAGCTTATGTCCAATTTTTACTCTCTTTTAGCTCTATTTTTGGTCTCCACCACCTTCCTGCTGTTAAATGTTTCACTGTGTTCATCCGCAAATCTTTAGTCATAAAAAATGAATTATAGACGCCTTATTTTACTGTAAAAATATATAACATTTAACTTTTAATATGAAACACGTTGCCTCTTTAAGCAATCTTTATTTTCTCACTTTGCCAGAGGGTTTAAACGGCCAAAGTGTACGAGTTTAGCTCGGTGATCCTGCAACTGCGATTCATTCTTTCCAGTGAAACTTTATAGAAAACAAATAGTTATTTTGCTTCTTTATTTCTTGAACCTGCCACATTTGAATATTTTTGCCACTTGAGGGCAGCAGATGTGGCAACAAACAGCATTTTATTTCCACATCCAGCAGCTACAGAGCGACATTTTCATGCATTTGGAGTCATATTTGTGGCAAAAGTCAAAAAACTTTTCTCTTTTAGCTCTATTTTTGGTCTCCACCACCTCCAGAGAGAAAAATCTGTTGATCAGCAAATCTGTAGTCATGAAAATTTCGATTACAGAGATCTTTTAATTCCTTCATGTACTCCAGTTAAATGCTGCGATGTGCGAGTTAAATGTTTGAGAAGTCAGATGTTATATAAAAAAGATGCTTCTGTCTCCAATTAATGTCAAAACCACCTCACGCGAGAAGTATTTTTGAATTTTCCATTAACCTTATGTGATACCTAAAAATACGTTGTGGAATACTGGCTACTACGGACCGAGGAGAAAATATGCACCTGTGCTGCTGAAAAACAGAAAAATTCTTGCATACCTTCATATTTAATTTATCTAACACGTTGCTTCTGGACAAATAAAACTTTACTGGACTTAACCGAGTAGAAAAAATCTTGTTAAGCTACAACAAACTGCAGTCAAGTTTATTTTAATAGGTGTTACTGGACATTTCTCACTGGTCAGCTGACAAAAATCAGCCTTAAAGGTAAACTTTTCATCTGTATTTTAGAGGAGGATGTAGCGTTTTTGAGTCCAATTCGTTTATAAGATTCAGGTTTTACATTCTGGCTAATAATGTCCCACAAGTTCAGCTCAGTTGAACGGTCATTTTATTTTGACCAAAATACTACCGAGATCCTGTTTGAGCGAGAGCATCGGGCTTAGTGAAATCTTTGGTATCAATCTTTTGTTTGGGTCACCGATTGTTCAGACTGTTTAATCCGAGCAGTAAATCAGAATCAGACGTTGAGTTCCTGCCGTGTGAACGCAGCCTAACAGCATCCAACCCACCAAGTCTTCTCTAGATGAGGGACAAAGAGTGTCTGATTATGCATTTCTGTGATATTTATGGTTCTTATAGACACTTGTGCAAAATCTTCCTACTGCTACCTGAATGCGGTGCGACTATCTTTACTTTTATGTGGATTGAAAACAATAGCAGTGGTTATTTATCAGAAAACAGGACTGGTTGTCATTTTTTTGGAGATCAGGAAAAGTTTGGGAGCGAAGAAAGAAAAAAAAAAAGCAACATTAAGTGGAGACGAGGACAACGGGTCAAGGTAACCTTCCTGGGTAACTCCTGAATTACACACACATGAGCTGCTGTTTATCTTAAAATAAGGGGAAAAAAAAGAACTGGAATGGCAGCAGCAACTAGGTTTCTGTCAGCTACATTCTTGTTTACATCGGGAATGGAAACGT